ACTCGAGTCGACAACATCAGATCATGACCCCAACCACTTACGGATAAGGAGGCTTAACAATTCATTCGAGTCCACCCTTCACCTTTATCCGTCAAACATTTGACGTGCACAAGAGCTTCAGCCTCTCGGTCTTGCTCACTTCTGCCAGTTTTTAGAGGGACTTACTGCAAAGCTTTTACTAACAGCCGAACAAAATATCGAGGCAACTAGCATATAAGGACCAATTTTATGGCCCTAGATTATCGCCTCTATTCTCTGGAATGCAACTGAGAGTGAACGTACGTTGTTGCGTCACACCCAGAATCAAAATTCAGGGATGCGATTTGGCACTTGCGTAGATATGGTAGGATTTACTGAGCAGCGCTTCTTGGAAAAGTGGTCAGAATAATGATATTATTCTTAATTTATGTCAAAAGAAAAGAGTAAAAATCTACTGTGATACCATTTTACTCGGAATGCTAAATCGTGGCAGAGTATCAATAACAGTGATTTTCATGGCTATTTGTTTATCGCGCCATTTGGTTTACTTTCGGGGAGCTGGATCTGCTTCCTCCCTATTAATTTGTTCGCAAAACTTTCAGTTGTTCCTCCCTTTTGGAGAGGATGATTTCTCTCCTTTTTCTTCTTTTAGGCCTCAATTCGTTTCCCTACGCAAGAAGAAAGTTTGATACAGGTAAAGGTAGTGGATGAGACCAAGCATTAATGATTGTTGTAAGTAGGGAAATGGGTTCGATTTACCAATGAGAGGGAACTTCTTCTTCTTCTTCTTGAACCTCTTAGGAATGAAAAACAGCAATCAGCTTTGAAAGAACTCAAACTGCTGTCCTCAGCTCTCTACTCACATCATTATAGCAGCTCTTAGAGTCAATGACGTGTAAATGCGAATTTGGGGGCAAAGACATACTACTTATTTCAATCTTAAGTACCAATGCCCGCTTCTTGTCAAGCCTTTCTGATCCAGCTAACTTTTGATTTTGATGTGAGGTTTTTAAGCCACGATTATGCACCCTGAAAGCGAAATCCTCTTCGCTGTTGACATTTTAGACAGCCGTTCTAATCTCTAAAGAGTGGGCACAAATTTATCCCCTACTAGTTTCCACGTCTTTTGGTAATTTCGTACTCATCGTCGCGAAGTCGAATAGGGCAGAGGAGAAGTAAATGAAAAGCATAGTCGTGATTCCTTTGTGCATGTAACCTTGTATTGAGAATCCGGAGGAAACACATTGTCTTCTCTTAATAAGGCAATTGGTTCGCTTATATTAGGCAGTGACTCTGCAACATTACCCCTTGAAAATGAGGGTTCGCATAATGGAACAACTTTTACTTCTCTCGGTCATCGTTGGACGTTGGCTGCTACCTCGTCTCGGGATAAGTCGTGATCAACTGTCTCAGTTGCTCCTCATCAACATTGGCAATGCGGCAGACATTCTGGAGCTCTTTGAGGCCTTCAACGAAGAAGCCGTGCGAACCAATACCTCCCTGAATATTTGCATTCTCTGCCTATGGCAGGCCTCCCTCCTTCAATTCTGCTTCAATAAGACAGCCACATTAGAACGCCGTAAAAGTACCACCCAGCAGGCGCCCTCGCTTCTTCGATCTGTCTCCAGAAGCACCACACTTAATGACCTCGTTCCTGCAGATCCAAATCAAATTCAGACGGAGATCCTCTTAGTCCCCAACCGAAGGCGCCACTTCTGCGATTGCTGTTCTCAGCGTTCTCCAGACGAGCCCGTGTCCGGGTGTGAACAACTCTGGTTCGGTACCGAATTGTGGGCTCTCTTCATGTCTCTTATTCTTCAAGATGTACCTTTTCTGGCGTTACGACTTACCTTAGTGTTGCACTTTAACGTGCGCAGCTACTCAAACATCTTCTTCACCTGTAAAAACTCCCTCCTCATTCTACTTCAGGTATTTCGTTCGGCGGTTATACTGAGTGAGTTTCGGCGCAACTGGGCAAATGAAAAATCTGACATTCCTTTGATTCTGGTGCCCTAATTCTGCTTTTCTCATCGTGTTTAGTGGGAATAGGAATTTGACTGTGCACTTTACCAGACGCCATTCCTTCTTTTTCTCCTCTTTTTTTCCGCTCACTTAAATCGCACTGTCGGAGGGATGGAGGTGAGGTAGAATTATCTAAAATGTTGGGTGAGTTAACTCGATGGGTGGGATTTTGCACCCCATAGGAGGCAACACTCCAATTCCAGACAATTTTTTCTTTGCATTTTAGCGCTTACAACTTAGTTGCACGGTGATGAATGGAACAAAAGGTCAGAACTCGAATAAGGCAGGGAGACCAGTTAAGTGGGAATCCAGTCTTTTCGATTTGCTGTGAGTGGCCAGCTAAGCGACCTCCTTTGTAGTGGAACGGTAAAACTAGACATCAGAGAGGGTGTCGGGAAAAAAACCTAGTGAAAGAAGTAAGTAGTTTTAATTGAACAGACAAGTACCAATTCCGCGATAGCAGTTGAGGCGTTGGTGGAACGCAAAGCTGAAGTTTGTCTTGCACAACACTTGCCTCCCTTTTCTAACTTCTTCATATGACCAAGCAGGAGTATCTTTGTACGGTTTGTAAACTCGCCTGGGGCAGTTAAAATTGCTAATTAACCTCGGCTTTTACTCAGCGCACCGCACACCCAATGAGACTGTCACCTCTGCTTTTAAAGCTGCAACCCTTAACTTATTCTCATGCCTTTTTCTCTCACCCAGAATGCAAGCCCAGATTAGCTGGTGCTGAGTTTGTCCTTGAAGAACCTCCTTTTATTCACAGACCCTAAAAAGGCATTGAAACTGATGTTTAATTGGCCATAACAGGAGCCATCCCAACTGGAAGCTCTACTGAACTAAAAGTTGCAGGCGCTGATGCTAAGACTGCACTCTCTATTATTCTTTGGCCCCTTCAGTTGTACAAAGTTTGGTCATACTTCGGTAACTCACTCTATCCTGTACTCAGGCGCAAGGTTTGAATGTGGAGGCACCTCTTTATTCAAGGCGAAGGTGATGGGTAGGGTTGAGCTTCGTAGTCACTCTACTTGGGCATCCTAAGACCATATTTTGGCGACACCGTCTTTCCTTGGTTCTCAACACCATGCTCGCCTTGGCTGTCCTCTTTTTCATCCCACTCCATGTGGTTAGTGCTTCTGGAGTCTTCTGGAAACATGAAACATGCACCGTAATTGGCAACCTTCACCAAAGTACAACATGAATTGCGTTGCGTCTCCAGGGTCACCTTCCCATTGTTGTGAGGTCGGCACGCCTTAACTGAGGAAGTGATACTTATTTGGCCAAACAACAAGCCAGATATGCTGCTTTTGAATGCAAAATTGGATTATACTCAGTAACTTAAATGATATTGTTTTCATTTTAATTTGCATAGTTTATGCGATTGTGATGCAATTTAAGGTGTCAGGCCTAATTCTGCATCCTCGTTTAGGTTAAGTTTTGAGCATTAAAGTAGTGGGGCTTGAGTTGGAGTGGACATGAGGAAGGAAAGCCCACTGAACCAACGTAACATTACTCGTAGCTTGTAACACGTGAAATTCGATCCTCCATGCTAAAACGAGAATGTAAGAGTTGAATGAGGAACGAAGAAGAAGAGGAGGAGGAGGAGGAGGAAAAATGAGCATCCTCGTCGTCCTACTTAGCGAGGTAACTTCGCTATTCAATGAGGCGAAGCAATTGTTATTCAGTCACTCGAAGTAAAATCATTTGTGACAAAGTAAAAAAGTGAGAATGAGAAAACGAAGAAGAAGGAGGACGAGGAGGGGCGGAGACTTCCTTGCCTGCATGCAATGTCCGCCAGATGCAATTCTTCACGAAAACTGAATCACTGCAGCCGTATCAGAGTCGCTTATGCAAGCCCAAAGAAAGCGTTACCTTCCAAAACGAACAAGACTAGTCTAATGGTATTTTGAGAGTTGGGAGCGGTGAGAAGAAAGGTGTGTCTTTCCTCTTATCGCCGCACTGCTTATCATTCCTTTCGCCATTAGCCTTACCCCAAGCATTGCGAAACAACACAGACAGTCGGTAGAGGGAAGTGGGACAACGAGGGGATTGTGCTTAGCACCTCAAAGAAGCTCTGCCACTTTCGATCAATGCCAGTAAACAAGGGATCAGTGCGATTTGCACTGTAAAAGACCCACAATCCAGAACGGAACTTCCTTTCAAACAAAACAATGATCAACCGTTTGATCTGTTTAGCTATTCAACAGTTCACTCACGTATTTCCAATACGACATCTTTTTCTCAACCTTATCAACTCTCCTGTATTATTTTCATATGCACGACTGAAGCAATGAAAGGATCACCAGGGCATTCAACGGTGATGATCTCATTAGATATGAAGGCGAGTGCGTCAGTAAATAGTGCAGTCAAGACAAACAGCATTTCCTATCTTAGCGCTTTTCTCTCCCAACCCTCTTGAAGTGAGGCGGCTCGGATCGCTTTCTTCGCGCAGCATCTTCGAAGGCTCATCGCATTAATCATTGGACAGTCTGGGAATGCATTGGGCACAAATTCGGTTCACCTGAGAATGGGGGAGGTTGAGAGGAGGTTTTCCCAAACCTCGCCCAAAATACTAATGCTCATTTTATAGCACCACCTACTATCTCAGTGATTATTCATCTTTTATAAGTAAAAAAGAGGAAAAATTATGTCAAACGGAGGCACCGGATGTTGTACTGACTATGAGCAGCAATTGAGTTGCCTTCCTTCCTGTCAATCAAGAAGACTTTGCCGTCAACTTTTCTGTTTTGTTTCTTTTTTACTTTACTCCTTGTTGACAAGACGCTTGTGTCTAAGAGGACTCAACAGTTTGACCTCCTATTGACTATTTCCTTAAAAATCGCCATCTCTCAATTGTTGTATCAGGTACAACCCAGCCACAGGAACTAAAACCTCTTCATGATCAAAATTACCTTATTGTTAGCCTACTTTTTGGGTACTCTTGCATGAAGGTGCAACTCCTTTAAAAAGGAAAAGCGAAAGTCAGTGAATGTTGACTTTGCAATGATATGCGAACACCTTCTTTATCCCTTTTAATGAGGAATAAGAAAGGAGTGGTGGGTTGGATTGGCGTTAAGATTTACTTGTAAACAATTTGTACCTCCTTCTTCCCACTCTTCCTTCTCAACTAATCTCCTGTCTCTACCTCCATCATGAATGCGACACTCCGCTTCGCAACGCCTCTTTGCCTTTTGGAGAGGCCGTCAAAGGTAAGGTGCGATGGGTTGCACAGGAGAGAGGATTCGGATTATTTTTGGAGTAACGGCTTTTTATGGCCCCATCTTCTTCTTCTTCTTCTCCTCCTCCTCCTCTTGTAATCCTCCGAACCGGACTTAAAATAGATGCTTATGTGATTTGTGTCAGTTGTAAGCCAACTGAATCCCAATCTGACCATCTATAAACAGCGATAAAAAGAGACAGGGAGATTAAGGATTACAAGGCCTTAGAGCTTGGTTGAAAATGGTCCTGAGGAATGTCTACAAAAATGTCAGGCTGTAGAAAGTGTGATAAATCCTTACGATATCTTTCTATGAGAAAATTGTGTGGAATTCGTGAAAATACCTTCACTAACCTTTCTGAAATGCTGAATATGTGGATGGCAGTGCATTCAGTCCAAGGCAATCACAGTGTATAGTTTGGTGAAGAAATTTCCCGCATGATCCGATGTCTCTCTTGAGCTTGGGTCGGTGGTTAGAAAGTCTGCATCAACTCCACTTTTAACATACAGACGCATGCAAAGCGGAGAAGAATTTAGCAATGTCTTCAC